CCCCCGGACCTGCTGCCCGCCAGCACATGGTCCGAGCCGTGACTCTAGCCCCTTCAACGTCTCCACGGGCCGCGGGGCCAGGGCCAGTGGCGTCTCGATTCTCTCCAGGCGGGGGCGACCTTAGCCTCCGCCTCCCGCGTGTCCCAACGCGTTCGCTCTCCGGGCGAGTTCCCGGACAGGTTCCCGCGGAGGTGGCTGGGGTGGAGCGGGGATGGAAGTGAGTTGTAGGTCCCGCGAGCTTCAGAGGGGAGCAGGTGGCCAGGATCCCGGGCTCCTAGAGGTCCGGACGGACGGGCTCAAGTGCAGGGAGACAGGAAGGGCTGATCCCCCCTCCGTTGCCCCGAAGCGCCCCGTCCCCCACGCGCTCACAGCCCCCTGGCCTGGTCGGTGTGGTCCTTGGGCGGCACCCCTTGCTCTGCTCCTTCTGGCTGACCCTCTCTCTACTTTGCTGTGGAGGGACAGAGGGGGCCAGCTCGAATGGAGGCTGGAAGAAGGGCCGGACAATCAGGGTCCCTTCCCTGGTCATCGTAGGAACAATGGTCAGTGGCCTGTGCGTTTCCCTGCCGACTGGAGGAGGGGAAGCCACACAGTGGTTTGCTGTTCCCAGGGGGAGGACCCGGATTTGCTGGGAGTGCTTCTGGCCTGGAAGGCCCAGGGGCTTCCTGCTGCCTCCTCAGGAGCTAGCCCAGAATCTGACCCTCCTGGTTCCAGAGAGGGCTCAGGGTGGGGATAGTCTCCAGGCCCTCCACCTCTCTGCCCTAGGCCTTGCCAGCTTGGAGCTGTCTGGGGCCTGGTCCAACAGGCAACCCGGAAAAGCGTTGCACTTGGGCTCTCAGCGGGAACACAGGCCCTCAGACCCAGCTGGCTTCTATCCTCCTGAGGCAGTGGCGAGGCACTGGCAGGGGTTCCAGGATCCTGTGCCCCAGTAGCCCACGGTGGAGTGGACCCTCAGTGAGAACATTCCAGGGGGACCTCAGGATGCCATGCTGGGCAGGGAGCTGGCTCCCTCAAAGCCATTAGTCTGATCGATCCTCTGTTCCCAACTGATCCCCTGGTCCCAGTTCCATTCTGTAATGTAGTCATTGACCCAGCCAGCGGTCTGCAGGTCAGCTGTCTGCCCCAACATGGCCCATGTCCCAGAGCTGGCTAGGGCAGCATAGTTCTGGCAGCCGTGAACTGCAGCTGCCACAGCCACCGACGGCCATCCCGACAACCTTCTTATCGCAGTGCTACCAGAGGACACCAGGGCAGTATGGAAGCCAAGCCCGCCTTCCTCCCAGCTGGCCCTGCCTACCCTGGCGCAGACAGAGCCCTGGAGGAAACCGAGCGGATATTGCCCTGTATTGTGGAGAGATGAGGAGGGGGAGGTGTTTCAGGAGGGGGCCCAGTGGGCCATGCCCACCAGTTTCCCTCAGGGCCTTGTAGAGCAGGAGTCGGACCCACTAGGGCCACCTGGAAGATCCAGGTTTGCTGCCTCAGAGCAGCTCCCCTGTGCCTCTGCGGTAGGCGGTGTCCTGGTGGGGGTGTCCACGGGAGGCCTGGCCAGGGAGGGGTCACTCTGTGCAGCTCAGAGGGGGCCCTGTGCCAGTGCTGCACAGCAGGACGGCTGGAGCCTAGCTGGTGACAACCTCCTCCCCACGCCTCCAGTCTGCCCCCTTCCCTGTGGAATTCCGGCTCTGCTCCAGCCCTTCTTCCTGCCCTACTCTCCACCCTTTTCCTGCCTCAGCCCCGTGAGGGTGCCTGGCTTCCGTCCATTGGGAGGTGGCTGAGCATCCCCCCACAGGGTGGGGATGGCAGGCACCTGATCCTCAGCAGCTGGCCTCAGACCTTTGGCACCCAGGCGGCAACTGGAGGCGGCAGGGCGGGGGAGATCTCTGGATTTAGGAAGAGGAGGCCAAATATAGACAGATGGGGTCCTGCCTGGGGTCCCATGGGAGGAGGATTAGCTTTCCTGAAGCCCAGACAGGAGACCCAGGGCCTCCCCTCTGGGCCCTTTTGGGGAGGGGCTGTCGGGGATGGAAGGATAGGTGTAGGGAAAGCAGATGTGGGGGCACAGGTATTCCAGGGAGAGTGAGCAGGTTTTGAGGAGAGGCAGCCCAGGAGTCACAGCAGACCTGGAAAGGTGACAGGTGCCTGAACTAGGGCATAGGGAGGATAGTCCGGGCCAGTGGGTGTAGGGAATCTGACCCCCACCCCTTTGCAGCGGAGAAGGTGAGCTCCCTGGGCAAGGACTGGCACAAGTTCTGCCTCAAGTGTGAGCGCTGCTCCAAGACACTGACACCAGGGGGCCATGCAGAGGTGAGCAGGGAAGGGGAACTGCGGGGGCAGGAGGAGGTGGGAGGGAGCTGGGTCTGCAGCCTGATCCCTGACTGCCTTCCACCCAGCATGATGGAAAGCCCTTCTGCCACAAACCCTGCTACGCCACACTGTTTGGACCCAAAGGTAAGTGGCATAAGCTGACCCCAGCAGTCCTGGTAGAGTGTGGATTCTCTGGTCCTGTGGTTCTCAGAAAGCCGGGGTGTGGTGAGGTTTGTGTGCCCTGGCCACTGTCCGACCCCCTAACACCTGCAGGTGTGAATATTGGTGGTGCGGGCTCCTACATCTATGAGAAGCCCGTCTCTGAGGGCGCACCAGTCACTGGCCCCATTGAGGCCCCTGCGGCCCGCGCTGAGGAACGGAAGGCCAGTGGCCCCCCGAGGGGGCCCAGCAGAGGTAGGGTCCTTGGGTGCCAGAGTGGGAGTTGGTGGGGCTGCAGTGGTGCCAGGGTTCTTTGGCCGTACTGACACCATCTGCCTGTAGCCTCCAGTGTGACCACGTTCACTGGGGAGCCCAACGTGTGTCCTCGCTGCAACAAGAGGGTCTACTTTGGTGAGTGGCCCCGCCCCTCCCTACTCAGCCCCAGGGAGTCTGTAGGGGGCCTTGTCATCTGCCCTTCCTTCCCTTGCAGCAGAGAAAGTGACGTCCCTGGGCAAGGACTGGCACCGGCCATGCCTGCGCTGTGAGCGCTGTGCCAAGACTCTGACGCCAGGTGGCCATGCAGAGGTGAGCACAGGTTGAGTACCCAGGAGGGTTGGGGGCCGGGAGACCCCCAAGGTAAGCAATCCTGAGTTGGCCTTGAAGCTGCAGGGCTCTTGGGAGACCACAGGTCATGGTATCACCACCTCTGGGGAATGGGGAGAAGGGTCTGTGCCCAGTGCTGTTGTCCCCATCCTACCCACAGCATGATGGCCAGCCCTACTGCCACAAGCCCTGTTACGGAATCCTCTTCGGACCAAAGGGTGAGTATAGCCTGGGGGTGCAGGGTACAGGTACTCCTTCTTCCTGCCCAGGCCCCAGCTTGTCCCTGGTTGGCCGCTCCAGCTGCCTATCTCCATAGGAGTGAATACTGGGGCCGTGGGCAGCTACATCTATGACAGAGACCCTGAAGGCACCGTTCAGCCCTAGGCCCCTGCCCTCTGTGGGGTTGAAGCCCACCTGCCTCCTGCTGACCCTGCCTGGACCCTCTACCTGGCTCTGTGGGGGACAGTGACCCACTGCCTAGCCCTGCCTCAGTACATCCCGCCTGCCAGGAGGAGGAGGCAGGGGCCATCTGCAGAGCTGCCCAATCCCAGCCCATGCCCTGCTGTGTCCCCATCATAGGGTCTTGTATATCACACCTCCTTGTGTGTCTGCCTGTTCTGTGTGTTCCCCTGCCCCATCGTGCTCCATGTCCTCTGTGTCCACATGACCCCGGTGGCTTTCCGAGGTGGCTTTCTTGCCCTCCTCCTGCTGCCTTCGCCTGCCCACCAGTATTATTTATGCTGCAGCTTGCCGGTGATGGCCACATGCTCACGGCATCCCTAGGGCTGGGGTCACTCCTCTGCCTGGCCCCCACACTGTCCCCCTTCACGTAGCTCACACTTGGTTCTGAGACTTTTGCTGTCAATAAAGGTTGGGGATCACAGGACCTAGCTCTGTGTCTGTGGTTGTGGGATGTGTGTGACTCTAGACAGTGTCCCTTTTTCTTGTCCACTCGTGCTCCAAGCCAGGGCCCCTGGTTGAGGTGGGGTTCAGAGGTGTTTGGGAAGGACCTATTTTGGCCAGTGGGACCAGCAATGAGGTCAGTAGGCATCTAGCAGGGCTGGACTGGGTGGAGTGGGCATCCCAGAGAGGGTCCAGGCTGAGGGCAGGTGGGGTGGGGTTCATGCTGAGACCCCAGGAAGGTGATTCCTGCAGCTGGATCCAGACCTTGGAAAGAGCAGCAAGCAGAGCCAGGAGCCTGGGGTAGGACAGGTGACCAGCGAGGGGGGCATCCTGTGCAGAGAATGGGGCACACTGGTGAGGGGTAGGTGGGCAGCTGAGGGTTGAGATGGAGTCCTGGAAGGTTGGAGGGGTGTACCCAGGACAGGTCTGGTCCCTCCCAAGATGGCACCTTCTTTACTTGGCTGGCCTCTAGCCGGTGGGGATGGCTTATCTTAGATGAGAGACTGGGGGCTTCAGCCTGTCTCTGCCCAGGTAGCTGGGTCTAGAACGATAAAGGAAACTGTCTGGGCTCCGCATGTGACCCAGACTCTGCTCTGGATACCTGGGGACCTACAGCTGGGTGCTCCCTCTACCTGCCACTTTGAGGATGCCCACAAGAGGGCGCACCTTGTCCTTTGGCTCAGCTGCTGCCCCACTGCTGGACTGGCCCTGGGTTCCGGCTCTTGCTCCAATTTGGGCACCACACACTGTCGCCCACCTGGAGCAAGGGGCTCCATGTCTCTGCCTCACAGAGCAGAGTGTCCTTCAGGTCTCTGCAGCCATCCTGCGGGCCACAGGCTGGCATGACTGAGGCTGGAAGCCAGGCCCATCATCCTGCAAGCAGCATCTGTGTCTCTGTCCCTGGGTGTGGGACACAGGCTGGCTCTGTGTCCGGCAGTGCTCCTGCTGCCCCCCAGGCAGCCTGGATTGTAGCCAGCACATTTCCCCTGTGGAGGAGAGGTAGAAGCAAGTATCAGTGTGGACTCCTGTTCAGAGACACAGCTGGGACCCTTACCCACAAGGAGGCTCAGTGTCAGGTTCAGCCCAGAGCTCACCACACAGGAACCCACCCTTCTGTCTCAGACTCCTGATGCAGGGCGATATTCTGCCCTCTGTCGGGTGGGAGGAAAGCATGGAGGGGGCCCTCTCCAAATCAGGGCAAGAAACTTCACTGGGCTGGGTGGAGCTGAGAGACTGCGGTCTCGCCTTGAGATCAGCAGATCTGTCCCTTAGCCCTGTGGCCAGCAGTGCTCCCCCACCCAGGCAGGAGCAGGCAGGACCAGACCGTTTCCTGCTGGGGAAGATGACGCTGCTGTTTGTTTCCCAGGGGTTGCCATGGAAACCAGGGCGTTGCTGCTACTGTTTGTCTGGGCCTTGTTGCTGGGCGGTGGCTCTTTTGGTGGCATCAGCTCCAATCCCCCCCACAAGATGGAGAGGAGGGGGGACTAGGTGCTTTGCCCAGGGATCCAGTTCTCCCCACCTCTCCAGGAGGTTGCCCACCAGCCTTACTCTTGGACATTCGCCCAGCCAAACTGACTGCAAAATACCATCTGACCACCTCTGTCCTCTTTCAGGCCCTCTGGGAGCTGCATGCGGGGACCATCAAGGAATCTTGCCCCAGCTGTCTGCACAGCACTGTCCTAGGACACTGGGCTCACTAGAGAGCCTCTTCAAGATGCTCCCAGACACCCCTCTCTGCCTGGGGCTGTTCCTGTGCTGGTGGGATCCTAGCTGGAGTTCCCATATAGGCATCTCAGGGCATCTCAGTGGGTGGGATCAGTCCATGCCCCCTACATCCCCACTGCCCAAGTCCCAGAGCCTCTGTTCCTAGGGCTCATCCTCCAGGCCCCACCCAACTTCCTTGGCCGGTGACCCTGCAGCAAGCCTGGCGTCTTCCCCAGCCCTGGCTCCTTGAAGGCCCCATCTTGTTCAGGTTCTTTCCAGAACCTCTGTAGGACTCGGAGTAGTGGCACAATGCCCTGCTGCCCCTAGGTCCAGCTCACTGGAAGCTGGTTTTAACCTGGTGGACCGAGGAGCAGGAAATCACCATGGGCCTCTAGCTTGAGGCTGCTGGTGGGCACAGGCGAAGGTTGGCCAGGGACCAGGGCGGCCAGGTGTGAGTAGCTATTTCCCAGGGCCTGGATGGCTCTGCAGTGGGCTTGGGGCCATGAATAGGACCTCAGCTGTTGGACGGTGAGGCTGGAATTTGAGGCCGTTCTGAGGCTTTGGTTCCAGGAAGAGGCTGGGCACTAGGCCCAGGCTCGAGGGAGGGGGAGAGGAAGGGTACCCACTGGCCTGACTAAAGGCCAGGCAGGGTTGCAGCCCTGTTGGGGAAGGAGCTGCTTGGGAGCCCCCACCCTTCCACATTACCCTCCTTACCTGGCGCCTGGAGAGGAGCCTGAGCTGTCCTGCACTTGGCACTGGGGTACAGGGCCTGAAGGGTAAAGGAGCCCAATTGTGAGGTAGCGTCCTGCCCTCCCCACCCAGCCATGGGCCTTGGCCCAGCAGGCCCACCCGGGGCCAGACCCCTGGCCAGCTCGGGGTCCCTGGAGACAAGCTGCTGAAAATAGGCCTTGGGAACTGTGACTGTCCTGGACTGCTCCTGGGGGGAGGATGGGTGTTGGGAGGTGGACTTGGGAACTGAGCGGGTTTCCCCTCACCCTTGCACACTTTCCTGTAGCCTGTGTTGGGACCTCAGTGCCAGAGGCTGGTCTGCAACCCGGGGGGGTTCTTCTTACCTGTGCATACTCTCAGCAGGGCCCTGGGCTAGGTGCTGGGTGAAGGTGGAGTGGAGGACAGGAACCTTGCTCTGCCGTGGGAGGGGCGTCTTTCTAGGTGGGGGTGGTGGGGATTCCTCAGGGGTCACTGGACCCAGCCCTGCCTTCTCTAGCCAGCCGGTAGGGGGCGCAAGGGTGTGTGCAGACAGGAGGCCAGCAGCCTGGAAAGAACCCTAAGTTCCCCCAGGTCTCCATGCTCTCAGTGTCTTTATAAAGGCTGAACATTTAGGCACAGGCCCTGAGGCAGCCCTCAGGGAGCTCACGGTCTTGTTCTCACTACTCTGCCTTCCTTGTGTGTGTGTGTGTGTGTGTGTGTGTGTGTGTGTGTGTGTAGAGGGGAGAGCTCCGGCACAGGCAGGGGCAGAGATGGAGTGGTCCAGGGTTACCCCTGGCAGGAGGAGTGGTGGCCTTGCACCTGTGTAGGTACCCTAGAGGTACTGGTTTTGGGGTTGGCTGCTGGGTGGGGGACAGAGCTGGGGCTGCCACTGATTAGAGCCGCACCAACAGGCAGAAAGGTGGGTGGAGAGCAGAGGAAAAAAGGGCCACTGAGGCCATGTCAGCCTGTGGCTGGAGTTTGGGAGGGATCCAGGGATGGTGTGTGTGTGTGTGCATTGGTGTGTGTGAGTTATATACTTGTCTTCATGTCTGTGCCTGTCTGCATGTGTCTGTGTCTCTGTGTATACCTATGTAAATGTGGTTGTATCTGCGTATCTGTGTGTGTCTTTGTGTGTGCCTCTGCAAAAACTACTGTACACCAACACACGAGTGGCCCATGGCCCTTGCCCCCGTTGGCATCTCTCCCCTGCTCCATGACCATGGTAATGAGAACAACAGCAGGGGTGGCCAGGAAGGACTCATGAAGGGTTTCGGGGGGCTCCCTAGCAGGGCAGGGCTGCAGTCTGGGTGTGAAAGGAATCCTCCTTTGCGTGGGGCAGTGGAAGGGGCTGAGGATTGAAGCATTGCCCACCTGCCCCAGCAAATGTCACCTGGGTGAAGCTCTGAGACACCTGTCCTGGAGCCTGGTGGGTGAAGTTGGGCAAAACATATGGCCATGTGTGCTGGGATCCCATATATGACCCCACATCCCTGAAGGAGCCAGACAGGATGCCTGCAGGCTTTAGGACACGTGTGTGTGGCACCCAGGCTCTAGGCTCAGGTGTGCATAGACCTAAAGTGGAGTCATGTGCTGGATGCCCTGGGTTCCTAGAGCAGTGAAACCGTGGGTACCTGGGAACTGTATGCTGAGGACCTCCTGTCTTCTCCCATGCAGCTGGGACTCTGCCCAGTGCTCCTCTCCCTGATGCCTCTGTCCGTTTGTCTGCATCTCTGTCCTGGCTGTGCCCCTGTCTCCCTAGAGCTGTGCTACTCAAGGGGGTCAGGTGACTGGGAAGTCAGGATTTGCCTCCTTGTTATTAGACCTGTGAGAAGACCCCAAGGGATGGGAGAAGACGTGAAGCAATGCTGGGCTGGTGGCTTTGAGACCAGGAGCCACCCAGAGGTGCCTGTGCCCAGCAGAGCACGGGGGGGCAACCCACCTCAGACAGAGCTATGCCCTGAGAGAGGCTGGAGGGGGAGGGCAGAGAAGAGCCCTGGTTACAGGGGTGGGGACTCCCTGGAGTTGTGGCCTTTGCGAGGGACATGTGATGCCTTGGTCTAGGGGGGATCTTGGGATGGGACCAACCATGGCTTCCCCTCACTCTGAGCCAGGCCTGGAGGTGACAGTATGCAGTGGGCTTCAGGAAAAGGGGAAGGGGGATACTCGGGTGCAGTCAGGGTGGAGCACAGGGGGCTGGGGAGAGTGGTCTGCATTACTGCAGGAAGGCGCCTGGATGGCCAAAGTGACATCTTGGTGTTTTTGTTTTTGTCTTTTTGAGACAAGATCTCCATATGTAGTTCAGGCTGGCCTTGAGCTCACTTTGTAGCCCAGGCTGGTCTTGAACTTGCAACCATCCTCCTGCCTCAGCCTCCCGAGTGCTGGGATTACAGGGGTACACCACCACATCTGGCTCTGACATCTTGCTTTGGTTTGGTTTGGTTTGGTTTTGGGACAGGGTTTTGCTATGCCATTCAGGGTGACCTTAAATTCACTATGTTGTCCTTGAATTCATGGTGATCCTCCTGCCTCAGCCTCCTGAGTGCTGGGATTACAGGTAAATGCTGCCACGCCCAGCCAGACTTTAGTTTTGGTACCAGGAATTGAACTCAAGGCCTTGTGCTTGCCAGGCAGGCTGTGCTGCTGAGCTACAACCCCTTCTCACATTTCGTTTTTTTTTTTTTTTTTTTTTGAGGTGGATGTGTCGGGTGAGGAGGAGGCTAGCTAGGAGTGGCTGAAGGGACAAGGCAAGGGGAAGGCCTTGGGGGCTGGGAGTGTGTGTGTGGCGGATGGCTCCTTCGGGTATGGGGTCCACAGAGCAGGAAGGAGAGGGGTCTATCAATATGCTACTTGGCTGTGACCCAGCATTGGACTTTTAAACTGAACTCCACCCAGGAAGAGGTCTGAGCTAAGGAGGTCACCCCAGGAACCCCTCTGGGAGGCTGCAGGCCCCACCCTTCAGGTCTCCATGGGCCTGGATGGCCCCTCAGGCTTCCTCATTCTCAGGGCAGGACAGGACAGTCTCTGCCTGGCACCAGCTGGGCGGCCTCCACCTTAGCTGGGCTTGGACTTGGACCGATCTGAGTGCTGGGCGCTTCCCAGAGATAAGATACCCTCCCCACCTGAGAATCTCTGAGGCAGCCTAGGGGTGGTCTCCCCTCCTTGCCCCCAGCTCATTGGCCCCCAGATTTAGCCTCTGCTGTCCTGTGGAGGAGTTGCTCTGCCTGGAGCTCCCTTTTCCAAGTTCCCCAGGGATGTTCCTGCTGCGATCTGCAGATTTGGGAGAGCAGTGGCGTGAAGGGAGCAGGCAGAGGTTGGATGGCCCCTTGGGCCTGGTGGGCTGGAAGACCCCAGCAGTGCTGAGGTTCAGTGTCCTCAGCCTCTTCCTAGGGGAACACAAAGTGTGAGGAGACTCTCACATGTTAATTTGCTTTCTGCGAATTAGAAGTGACCTTATGCCCTCCCTGGCTCCCACAGACCTCGGACTCTCGCAGGGGCATCCTGTGGCCTGGGGTGGGGCACATCTTCCTGCCCGCTGGCTCACAGGAACCTTGAGATGCGCCTGGGCGGGTACTGCGAAGCACCCTGCCCCAGGGATCCCCGGGGTCCCCGCACCCCCGCTCTTCCCTCGCCAGACGGGTCCCGCCCGGGGAGCGCGTGGACAGTCCACAGTTCGCCGCTGGCCCGCCTCCATTCGAGTTCCCGAGGTCCAAGTCTGGGCTCGGGGGCGGGGCAAGGAGGCGGGGCATCAGGGGCGGGGCCCCTGGGTCCCTCAAAGGCGCGGACCCGAGAGTTCCACCCCGTCCCGCGCCCACAGCCATCTGCAGGTCCGCTGTAGTCCCTGTCCTGGACGCGCCGCCATGCCCAAGTGCCCCAAGTGCGAGAAGGAGGTGTATTTTGGTGAGCGTGCCGCCAGGCCCGACGCGGAAGCCGTCCCGGGGTGACCGAGCTTGGAGAGGAAGACCCGGGGGCTAAAGCCGATCACTGGGTGTGGGTGTGTGTGTGCCAGGGCCCGGCACAGCCGGGGTGGGAGGGTGGGGACCCCTGCCTCGACGGTCCTGCCGTCTCTGCCTACTCGGCATCTCTGCCTGTGTTCCCCGCCTCTAATCTCCCTGTCTCTGTGACCCTCTGTTTCCAAGTCCCTTTGTCCCTCACGATCTTCATCTTGGGTCTCCTTGTTCGGGCGACTCCATGCACTCCCGGTCTTTGGGGTTGCTGACCTCTACTCCCCCGTCTCCTGGTCCCACTGTGTCCCCGACTCCACCCGCTTCTCGGCGCGTCCTGGGCAGAGTTCCCGCAGGGCGGGAAGGAGCGGACTGGGCCGCCCCCTAGCACCAAACGGAAACAGGCGCAGAAGCCACCGCCCCCGGCGCAGTTTGCCCCGCTTGGGTCCCCAGCGCCCGTCTTCCTGCCCCGCGCACCTCAGGGCGCACACGGAAGGGAGGAAGAGGGAGAAGGGCACCTCAGGCTTTGCCCTGCACCGGGCTGCGGCAAGAGCCTTTAACCGTAGTAGCCTGACCCAGGCCCTGGGGCTGGGCACCCCCATCCCTGAGGCGGGGTGTCTCTTCGCATGCATCAGCCCCACGGGCCACGCCCTCGAGCTTCCCAGGAAGTGACCCAGAGGCCAACGGCCGTTCTGGTTTGTTTGGATTGGCTGAGGGGACTGAAGGGCTCCACTTGGAGAAGGCTGGCAGGCTGGCAGAGGTAGAGAAACCGGTGGGTGGACGGGAGCTCAAGTGTGCAAGGGGTGGATGTGCCTGCCACCCAGCAGAGACGCAGGGGGGTCTGCTTTGCAGCGGAGCGGGTGACCTCGATGGGCAAGGACTGGCATCGGTCCTGCCTGAAGTGTGAAAAGTGTGGAAAGACGCTGACCTCTGGGGGTCACTCTGAGGTAGGTGGGGGCAGTTTGGCAGGGTGAGGGGCCGGTATGGGGGAAGTCCTCCCTCACAGCTGCTCTCTTTGCAGCATGAAGGCAAGCCTTACTGCAACCACCCCTGCTACTCTGCCATGTTTGGGCCCAAAGGTACGCTTTGAGGACCCGGGTCTGGGACCCTTACCCAGTATGAAGCCCTGCCTTTTAACCCACTGACCCTTCTTTTCTCCAGGCTTTGGGCGGGGTGGCGCTGAGAGTCACACCTTCAAGTAGACCCAGGTATAGCCTTGCCTGAAGTGCCATCAACCCTCCCAGCCTGGGGACTGACTGTGTGGCTTGGTGGCAGGCTTAGAGTTATGCTCATGTCTGTCCCTGTCTCTCTGTACAGGTTTCAGAGACCCCATCCGTGGCTACCTGCTGGGCCACTGGTCATCCAGACAGATACCAGGCCTTATCCCCAGAGATCCAGGGCTCCCAGCAGCCCCTCATGTCTTCAATAAACCTGAACACTTGGAAGGCCTTTTGTGTGTGTGTGTGTGTGTGTATGCGTGGGCACGCAGACTGCACACCCACGCATGATCAGTGGGTGGGGTTAAGGGGGAGCTGGGAGTGCCTGTGTTCTTCCTACTCAGCCAGCACTGGGTGGAGTCACCTGTGTAGGGCAAGAGTCCAGGCCTCTCAATACCCAGACCTGCAAAGGTATGCGTGCCCTGAGTGGTACTGGCCCAAGGTGAGGCTGGGGTCAAAGGGCCAGAGGTAACTGGAGTGGGTTGGGCTTCAAGGCCGTCCTAGCCCAGGTCAGGTTGTGAATCTGCTGGAACTGTGCTGGTTCCTTTTTTGAGAGGCTTTGGGGAGTTGTGGTGTAGCCTCCTTGCCTGGCCCCTTCCCATTTCCTGCCACCCCTCCCCAGTTCCTGTGCCCCTGGGACAGACCTCTTTTCTTTTCTTTTTTTTTTTTTCCAGTACCGGGAATCAAACTCACGACCTCGCACTTGCTAGGCAGGCGCTGTGCTGCTGAGCTAAATCCCCAGCCCCTCAGACCTCTTTTCAAGGGGTGTGTACAGCTGTGCAGTGGGGACCCAGATGTAAAGTTCCTTTTCGGGCTTCATCCCTGCCCAGGGACTTTTCCGGTGGCCTGGCACACTAATGGGGTTTGGGTCCTGGCTGTGGGCCGCAGAGGGGACTTTCTGGAAATTCCTGGTCAACTCTCATTGGTGACCATGTGTCAGACTCCCGCCCACTACAGGCCCTCCCTCCTTGGCTCCTGGAGGTCACCGCTGTAACTGAACAGTGCAGAAAGCTTCACTCTGGCCAGTGGTAGGGCAGGAGCCACCGGGGTGATCTGTAGGGTAGTCTGCATGCATCTGTGAGTGTGAGATAGGTGATTTTGGAACTTTAGGAGATGTAGCAAAGCTTTGCACAATAGGTGGGGTGGGACAGGTAGAACTGGGATTCGGAGCAGGTCTGAGCTTCCGGTTGCCCCACGGGGACTGAGGGCCAGCTACACCAGGAGTCTAGAGAGGTTCCTGGCAGATACGGTGTGGGGCTGCGGTTCCTGACCCCAGGGTACCACCTGTGAGACTCCCGCCCCCGGGCGGCTCAAGGTCCTAGTTGGGACAGGCTTCGGGTGCATTGCCCACTCGTGGAGGCCTCCGGGAAGTGGGGTCCGCCTGGCCTGGGTAAAGGAAGAGCCCCGAGAGACCAACCAGGGGCGGGGGAAACGAAACCTATAGGCGTCCGGGTTGAGCTGGAGGGAGGCTCTCCCCGTCCCTGCGCGGGCCGCTCTCCGGGGGCGGGGGCGGGGGCGCGGGGCAGGCGAGAACCCGGCGGTAGCGAGTCTGGCGGGCTGGAAGGCGCGCAAGAGCGCCTCCATCTGTCCTTCGGTCCAGGATGCACATCCGGGCCTTGCGGGGGAGCTTCTAGGTGATAGGCAAGGGGAGGAAGCAGGTGGGGCTGGGCAGAGGGAACTGAGGCCGGACATGGGGGCGAGGGGTCCGTGCTGCTCCTAGTGGAGCTCGGACAGGTGTGCGGCGCTCCTGCGCACCGCAGGCAGTTGCTCTGAGAGGAGGCGCTTCGGGCCCCTGCGTGCCCCCGAGCAGTGGGGCCCGGGGAGGCTCCGCATAGGGCGCCTGCCCGGCTGGGTGGGGCCAAGCTCCGCGGTCCTCTGTGGCTCCAGAGGGGCCTTTGGCGCTTGCGCCCCCTTCAGCCCCTAGCAGGCGGTGTTCTCCCCCGCGGTTGCTAGGCGACTGGTGGCGCGACACACTGATTGGCTGGCTAGGGGCGAGGCTGGGTGTCGGGCGAAGATTGGCTCCAGAGTTCGGACCCGACACAGCTACTTGCACTGAAGGCCCACCCCCGGAGCCCGGAAGTGATTCAGCGGGGTTAGAACAGACAGCCACCGCAGGCCAGGTCCACCGCAGGCCAGGTCCACCGCTCACGGGGCCAGGGCGGCGGGTGTGGGGACGACCGGGCCGCGACAGTGATTGGTCGCTGGACCTGGGAGGCAGTGATTGGGCGCGGGAACCCTGGCGGGCGATCCAAGGAGGCCTGCTGCAGACCGCATGGGGAGGCGGCGGCGCCGGGTGGACGAAGAGGCCTCGGCCCGGGCGGGGGCTGGGGCCAGGACACTGCTGGATGCCATAGCCACGCTAAGTCGGTCGCTGCCAACCGGGCCCTGCCCCGAGATCTTCCGCCGCGCCAAGTTCGACCGTCCAGAGGCCGTGAGGCTTGCGGGGCGGGTTCCGGGCAGGGTGTGGTCCTGGGCGGAAGCAGGGAGCCGCCCGGCCCCGCTGACTGCCCGCTCCTTGTGTGCCACAGGCCCCAGCGCTCTGGGAGCTCCTCTTCCGACTGCTAGCGCCTCTCCTAGCGGACAGAGCGGCCGCCTCGCTAGGCCCGGGTAGGCCCCGCCCCCAGAGGGCTTACCCACAGGCCACGCCCTTCAGAACCTTTCCTTGCACTCCTGCGGCAGTGGGCACACCCGGTTATGTAAAGTTTAGCCTCAGGCAAAGCAACGCCCAGCAGGCGGGCGCTGGCCTTGCTCACCTGGGTAGCATTGACCCTGCCCACTCCTCTTCCTGATGGTAGTCTTAGCCCCTCTTCCCATGGTTCCCTGTGAGCAGGGCCACTGTTTGGGGTCTGTGGGTTCCTTAAAGGCCTCAGGTGGTGACACATCGAGGTTGGGGGTCCCCCTAAATGGTGGTCTCCTCCAGGAGCCCAAGCCCGCTGGGTGAAGGCAGTGCTCTGCTCCCACGGCTACCCGAGGCCAGCTCTGGCACAGCTCCCTGAGGACGGCTCCCAGGGCAGCAGGGAGCTGCTGCTGGCCTTTTCCTGGCTTCTGGCCCGAGGGCCCCTGCTAGAGTGGCTGCTGGCTCAGACCTGTGTGAAACTGGGTGACCAGGTGCCCACGTTCGAGGTGGGTATAGAGTTAGGGTGAGCTGGGCCAGGCCTGCGAAGAATCTCAGGTTCTCCAGTGTCCCTGTGGCCACAGCAAGGCCAGGCAGGGCCAGCCTCCCTGCATGTGATTTTGGGGCAGCCCTGGGCCAGCTGAGCTGGGAGGCTTGGACCTGTGAGGCAGAATCCTTCCCCATCTTTCCCTCAGAAGTGGAGCAAGCACAGCCTGACACTTGTTCCCCTACAGTGTGAGGTCCTGGCCAGTCCTGGCCTGGCTACACCCCAAATGGATGCAGAGGGCCCTGTGGACCTCCGCTGTCTGCAGTGGCTGATGGGAAAATTGCGGTTCCAGTGGCAGCAATTGATCTGCAGTCAGGAGGAGCAGTGTGCCCTCTTGAGCAAGGTAGGATGGGCACATGGCTTCCTATCAGGGCAGCTCCCCTGTGTCCAGGCCCCAGTCTGCCTTTCCCTGTGGCCTGTGCACCAGGCCTGGTGGGGCTGAGCCCAGGGTTCCAGCTGAATGTGTGGACTGGCTGGAGATGGTGGAGATTGGCACCTCTGGAGCCTGAGCCCTCAGCTCTAGGTGGTCCAGGGAGGGGCTAGTTAGTAGTCAGAATTCTCAACCTGCTGGTAGAGTGGAAGCTGGTGTCACAGAACTTACAGGATGGTCTTTCTTATCACCAGAAGTCACTGTGGCCTTTAGATTCCACATCAACAAATTTGGGAATGGCTTCCACAGAGGAACGAACTCTGCTTCCTGGGCCTTGAGGAAGAAAGGCACCTCCACCCCATCCTGAGTATGGGTGAATTGGGGCAGGGTAGCTTTTTTATTTTTTTTTTTGAGAAGAGGTCTCAGTAAGTGCTCAGGCTGGCCTGGAGTTCATGATCCTCCTGGCTCTGCTTCCTGAATGTCTGACTTGTAGGGGCCTCTTGTAGGGCCCTGTGAAGGCTGTCAGGGGTGACTTGTGTGGGCCCAGCAGCCCAGTGACATGATAAGCATGAAGTCAGGGCTGACAGCCCCCACAGAGGTCTCAACAGTTTCTCCCAAGGCCACTCGCTTTCTCTTGACTGGTCTTGGCCCTAGTGGCCCAAACCTGTTAATGTCTGTGCTGCCTCTTGGCCTCACATGGGGGTTTTCCTGTGCCCCCATAGCTAGGTGTTCACTGTGTCCTCATCATTGGCCTTGAGGGTTCTGCTGTGCTGTTCTGACGCTATTTCTCCTGCCCCAAACCTTGTGGACGATCTGCACCATCAAGAGCCTGCCACTTTGCAGACAGAATGGAGTGCCCTGCTCCACTGTTCCATACCCCTGGGGAGATTTCTGGGGTGGGAAGGTACTGGGAGGTTGTGGGGCCCCAGCATGCTGGAGCTGTCCTGAGCCCAGCCCTGTTCTGCCCAGCCTCAGGTGAGGTGTGGCTTCTCTGAGCTTTTTTTCATTGTCTGTCATGGTGGTGGGGACTCTACAGTGTGCAGCCATGGTGGTGTAAAGGTTGTAAAGATTACTTAGAGACAAGACTTAATTCAGTCACTGAGAGGCTCACAGAGGCTGCTGCTCTATATGAGAAAGCCTCAGAGAAATAGCAACAAGCTGAGACCTCTGTAAGTTATTTATTTGTAAATCAAGGACATGAGAACAAAGATATAAAAGAAAGCCACTTGCAACACTTGTATAGGAGTTTTGGCCAGGGGACAGGGAAGGAATGGGATGGTTTGTTATGTGACAAATGTCAGCCTAGTTTAAACAAGCTTAGTAGAGCAGAGGGTACACAATGGCCAAAGCAAACATCTCCGAGAATAACTTATTATTGATTTTGCTGACTGCTGTCCTGCAGATCTGCTCTAAACTTAATGCAGATTCCATAGGATCCTGGGAACTTTGTTCCCAAGGCCCCGTTTCATGCTCATTTCAATCACTCCTTTGGAGCCGGGCATGGTGCCACACGCCTGTAATCCCAGCACTTGGGAGACTGAGACAGGAGGATCCTTGCGAGTTCGAGATCAGCCTGTGCTACAAAGTGAACTCAAGGCCAGCCTGAACTGCATAGCGAGACCCTGTCTCAAAAAGACAAAAAAAAAAAAAAATCAATCACTCCTTTCGGCAAAGTCTCCCCACAGGAGGCCTGATGCTGAGGGCACTGTTATCCACACAGCCTGGGGTCTGTGCTGTCCATTTCAGATCCACATGTACACGTGGGGCTGCCACAGTGACCGGAACCTTGGCCACCTGTCTGTCACTGAAACAGAGATGCTCAGGGACCCAGAGGGCAGCCAGCAGGTGAGGACTGACCAGGTGCTGGGGTGGGTGCCACCCGCAGCGGGGCAAAGCCTGTTGTGGTGACCTGGAGCTGGTGTCTAACTTTGAGGAGTGCTTGTTTCTGGGTGTCTGTCAAGCTCAGTCATTGCTGTTATGGGTGACAAAGGGTCCTCCAGTCCTCTCCCTGCTTGAGGACTGTCTACCTCTCCTGGCATCTGGCAGGTATTGTGTGTATGCCTGGCCCCTGGGCAGACTGGGCGGCCCAAGGGGGACATTGGCCAGGCGGGGCTGGCAACTGGCTTAGCAAAGGGCTGCTGGAATGAAGGAATCCTGCTTCAGGTCTGTGCTGAACCTGGAATGCATGGGGGTATCACCTGGGAGGGAGGAGATGATTGCCTCCAGAGCTAGGGCCTTTGGGAAGGGTTGACCGAAGGAGGGCAGGCCTGGTGGCCTCAGTCGTGCTTGCTGACCATGGGCACTGACTGCCTTCCAGGCTGGCTGCCCCAGGTGATACGGTCCTAGGGTCCCAGGCAGAAGGCTGGGCCCAGCAGAGCACAGATGTAAAGGAAAGCAGGCATTGAACCTGAGAGGCTGTGAGACCCCAGGTATTTGCTTTGTCTGAGGCATTTCCCCAGAATGTCCAGTTCCCCCTACTTGTGCTAACCCCTCTCCCACTGACTTGTCCCCCTCTTTTCTTCTCACCTTTACCACTGCTTCTTTTCTCTTGTCCAGCTTCATCTCTGGGCTCCCAGGACAGGGCCAGGGCTGACTGTTACTTAGAGTGGGGCTCTGGGGCATCCTGAGTTGTGGCTTAGGCTATCTAGCCCTGGTATGTCCCACTGGGCAGGAGAACTGGAACCAACTGCAGCCATCTCCTCCCTCCCAGCCTGGTCCCCTCCTCTCTTTCCTCCTCACCCCTGAGACTTGGCCTCACCTCCAGGCTGTCCTGAATGTTGGGCAGGTCGGATGGGGACCGAGGGCCAGAGGCAGGTGATTTGCCTCCTGATCTCCATTGTCCATAGGGCTTCTGAAGATCCCTGCCTAGAGAATGCTCTGGGCAACTGTGGACTCCACAGTAGCTGAGGTGCCCCTTGGTAGCACCTGCCTAGTCTGGTGCCAGCTGGCACAGCTCCCGTAGGGCCTGTGCTTGATGTGCAGGTGCTGAGGCAGCATTTGGGTGTCCCCATATGCTTTGTCCCTCATTGAGAAGTGACTCAGCCCCTGTCCCTGGGTTGGAACAAAGCCAAGGCTGCCAGGTTCAGTCTGGGCTTGCCTGGGACTGCTCTGTGGGACCCTCTGTGTGGCGTGTGGCTGGGGTGAGGTGGGGCTGAGATGCCCCTTGTTTAGAGGCTGGTGTATGTTGGTGCTGTAGGACTCTCAGAGACCATAGTGGGGGTTGCCTGGGGCCATGGTTGTCTCCCAAGTTCTGGAGGAGCAGCTGGCCAGTGCCTGAACCTGACCTACCTGAAGGACCTGCACTGTCAGGCCATGTCCCAAGAGGTTCTGGAAGGATCTCTGGCTGGTGTGGTGCCAGGCATGCTGTTGGGTAGCTGAGCACTTTTCCTGGTCACAGGGGAGCCTGTAGCCTTTCATGTCCCTGCCAGGGAGGTAGGCAGAGAGGTGGCTATCCTTGGGGGTGAAGCAGGGTGTGAAGCGGCCATGTGCTTCTTCCTGTGCCTGCCCAGCCTGGTTTAGTGTTTTCACTCTGTATACTTGCTCCTGTCTGTCTCTTACTTTGCCTCTGCTGTGGCAGGCTTAGGATGGGCTGGCAGGGGCTGGCATTTAAGGCCACTCCCCTTGAACTGCCCCCCACCTCACCCCCTTGGTCTGCTATCTGCCTCTCTGTAGAGCTGGAGGTAGGGTATTCAGGTGAAGAGGGCCTGGCATGTGCTGTCTAGCAGGGATCCCCTCCCTGTCCAGTAGCCTGAGGCCCTGGTACAAGTTCCATGAATAGGTTGTCTTCCTTCCATGGGAGCTAGACCTGTCATGCACTGGGCATCTAGAGGGCCCCAAGCCCACACATCACCAACTCCCTGTCCTCTCAAAGGAGGAGTCAGGTGCTGGGTAATCTGTGTCTGGAAAGGACACCTCAGGTTGGGAGTTCCCACCCAGGTATCCTGGGTGGAGGGAGTGGTTGAGGGGATCTTAGCTGTAGTCAGGCTGGGAGATGCCCTGAAGGCAGAGATGTGCTAGGCATCTCCTGGGCCAGCCTCTGTGTGTGTGTGTGTGTGTGTACGTTGTGCAGTAGGGGGAGAGAGGAGGGCTCCTGACCTGATCTGGCCCCATCCTTCCCTGTAGAGCTCAGCCCTGTTCTCCACCTGTGTCTGAACCCCACCACCTCCCACTTAAGCCAGATGCAAAGTCCTCTCAGCCTTTGGAGTTCCCAGAATTAGAGGGAAGGGGGTTCACCTGCCCCTGAGGCTAGCAGCCTCCTCCTGGGCCTCCTCTGTGCAACCCCCAGTCAGGGGTGTGAGACAGAGCTGTCCAGTAGAAGGGCACCTGGGTAAGCCCTAAACCTAGGATCAGCCATAGGGCAGGTGTGGAGACCATGGGTGTGATCAGAAGAGTGGACTGGTGGGCCTGGTTGAGCTTAGGGCCACTCTTCCCTTCAGAAGGGACCTGAAGCCCTCAGGCAGATGTTTAGGTACCTTGGGGGCTAGGCCCTGCAGCTGCCTGCAGGGAGCCTGGTGCAGGCAGAAGTGTCCAGCTTGCTTGCTCTGCAGCTGTTGCAGGCACTGGAGCAGGAGAATGCCCAGCTGGAGGCGGCTCTGGAGTGGCGGCGCTATGAGCTGGTCTTCTGGCAGTGGATGGTGAGGATGCCATGCTGCCCCCTCCCTTTCCTGTTTGGGTGGTGGCCACACATTGGGGGTTTGAAGGTCTTGCCACCTCCTGGACAGGAAGAGGAACCCTGAGGAAGCTTGGTGACCGAGTCTGGGTCTTGCCCAGGATGTGGCTTGTCTTCTGGCCCTACCTTGTTCCCATAGATGTCGGGCTTTTGCCTCCTGGACTCTGCATATGTAGGATTGCCACCACTGTCCCCTCAGCCTTTGTACCTTTGATCCCATCAATTAGAGGCCTGTTCTTGGCACACACTGTCTTGCTTGGGTCTCTGCAGGATACGGTCCTGGGTGCCTGTCCCTCGGAGGACCCTGCTGTACCCACATTCCAGCCCAGCATCTCTGAGCATGGGCGTGGCAAGCTGGAGCTGGTGGCTCAGGAGCTGCAGGCCCTGAAGGAGGAGTTGCAAGCCCTGCAGGAGTTGCTGCGCAAAGAGGTGCTCAGCCGGCGCCAGGCCTGGGAGACCCAGGTGAGCACTACCCACCTGACTGGGCCTCATCCTCCAGGTTCAGTAGCCTTGGCCCTAAAGGGGTTCAGTAGATGGCCTGCCCATGCAGACCCCATTCACCAGGTACTGCCCCCTCCAGCCCTTATACTACCCCTCAGAAGCCCCACCCCATCCCACACAGGACTGATTCCTGGGCACAGTGGACCCTTTAACTGAGCTACTAGTTAGAGTACCTGGTTTAATTGGATTAGACTTGATAGGTGATGCACTTGGACCACTTTACAGCAAAGCAAGGAGATGCACAGTGAGGGGTCTCCGCAGCCCACTGCAGCAGCCCTCCATGCCCCCAGACCGCCTGATGGGAATCTTGTTCTTCAAGGGATCCTGGAGAGGGAGTGAGCCTACCTTGCATGGCTTGCCCCCTGGTACCCATGTAGGCATCCCTCCACCTTGCCTGTAACTCTTCCACATGCTGTCTGGCGCCTGTGCCTCTTGCCTCCTGTGGTGGCCACTGCCCCATGTCCAGTGGACCTCTGGGAAGGTTCCTGGGTACAAGTGCTGAATGCTACTCTGTTTCTTTTCTTTTTTTTTTTTTTTTAAACCCAGGGAGTACTGAGCTATGTCCTCAGTCCTTTTTTAAAAAAACTTACCAAGCTGCCCAGGCTGACACTGAACTTGTGATCCTCCTGCCTCAGCCTCCCAAGTAGCTGGAATTATAGACATACTATACCATGCCTGGCACATTTTCTTTTTTGGAAGTGTTTTAATGCAAGCCACAGGAAGACTTCCCTCAGCTCTCAGTAGGCCTCCATGAAGAGCAGGGTGTTCCCTGTGCCTGCTTGCTTAGGCTGTTCCTCCAGCCCAGGGATGAGGCTGGCTTAGGCCATGTCCTGTGTCCTTGGGTGAGCCCACCTTCCCTGGCCCTGGAGGCTCAGGTGGCTCCCTCAGGTCATCTGGAGTGGGATGGGGCCTCAAACCCCAGGATTGTCCAGAGCCAGAGATGGCCTCAGGGGGCAGCTCCCTACCCTGGGAGTTGGGAAGTGCTGTAGCAGAGGGTGGTGGTGGGAGACTGTGCTGACCTGGAAAGTGGCAGGTAGGCTTGCTGATTGGGAGGCCCCAAGGTCTTTGCTCTGAATTCTTTGTGTTGCCACACCTACCTGTACCTCTGGACCAACCAGCTGGGTCTGTAGCTGGTCTTGTAAGGCCTAGGGGTGGAGCTTGGGGGTCTGTGGTCCAGTTGTAGTTGATAGGGCCATATGCTCTGTAAAGGTGGAGCCATCCTTGGGATGGTGACGGGTGGCCCCTTCTGTCTGGAGTGAGGGTATTGGGCACCATTGTTTTTCCATAAAGAAGTTACAGCTCCTGCTGGGAGCCTACCCCGAGGCCCCAGAAACCTTTAGGGCCCTGAGCCCTGTGTCCTGGGGACAGAGCTACTGAGCCTGAGCTGCTGTGGCTCCCTCTGTCCAGATTGGTGGCCTGGGCCACGGGCCGGAGTGGAGTGCAGCGCGACAGGCCTTGCAGCAGGCTGTGGATCGGGAGCTGTTGGCCCTGCGGCAGGCCTGGAAACAGGGCAAGGGCCCCAGCCTGCCTCAGGGGCCCCACCGTCTGGTGAAGATCGAGGCTGGGTCAGCAGAGGCCCAGGGCCTGCCAGTGGCCGAAGTGATCAGGGCCCTGAGGAGCCAGGAGGCAAGCCTGGAGGCGGTGCTGTGCCGGCTGCAGGGACAGTGTCGGCAGGAACTGGCCAGGCTGGCAGGAACTGTGCCAGGCCTCATCTGGATTCTGCCACCTGGACGCTGATGTCCCATGGACATACCCTCCCTCCCTCCATGGACACATAGGAACCTGCCTGGGCTGTGCTGGCCTCCTTGGAAGAGCAGGTTCTGGGGAAATGGACACAGGGCTGATGCATGCAGTTTTCAGCCCTGGCCTGCAACGCTGGAGTTGGCATAGTTGCTCCCTGTGAGGGGGACTGTAGGGGACCCAGAAATAAATGGCAGAACCTTGCCTGCCTGAGGGGGCCAGCCTACCTCCCTCTCTACCGCCTTTCCAGGTCTCTGTCTGGGTAGAAAGAGGGAGCGCAGGCCCAAGGTGGCCGAGCTAAGCTGCACCAGAGGTATGCTGGGAAACCTGGGGATGATGGCTGTGGGAGCCCTACATCTGCCCAGAATACAGTTGTGCCCCTCCCACTCCTGCTTTGGCCCATTGCAAATCCCAGTGCAGGCAGTACACACAGCCTCCCTCCTGTGCAGGCCATAGATGTGCTTGTGTGTGGGGTGGGGGCCGGATGAGGCACTGGGGGCTCTGGTCCTTTCCCTGGGGGTGGTGCTTGGGGGGAGGGGAGGCCACCATGTGGACAGAGGGGCTTTGTTCTGGAGGCTGTTTGATAGCTCAGCCTGACAAAGAGCTTCCTGTGTTGGGTTTGCGCCCACAGCCCAATGGAGTGGCCTCCTGCCGTCTCCCCTGCCAACAAGCACAGGTGGGCCTGTGGCCTTCAGCCTTGCCTGTCTCTCCATCCCAGGCTTCAGACCCTGACCCAGGGCTTCTGCTAGCCAAAGCCAAGGCCACTGTCAGTCCCTGGATCCCCTGGTCTCCTTGAGCCCACTGCCGGGCCTGTCTCATGGAGTTTCCTTCCTAACCCTTATAGACATGGGGTGCACTGTGTGCTGCCATCCTGGGCCCACACAACCTGGCTTAAGCTCCTCTCACCTGTGGCCCTCTCCTCCCTGGCTCTTCTTGCTTCCAACTACAGTTTGCAGCTCTGGTCTAGGGCACAGGGCCTTGAGGTGGCCTCTGGAAGTGGCCAAGCCTCCTGTGTTGTAAGCAAGGCCATGTAATTTTTTTTTTTTTTTAAATTTTTTTTTATTTTAAAGAATAAAAGAAGGATAACATAATAATAGGGGGGACTTAGCAAATTACAGACAAAATGGTAGGAAATTATCAATGGTTATCATTTTACATATTATTGTCTACAAAATAGTTTCTCAGGAAAACAAATAGACAAATAATACTGAGTTAGAGACCAAAGAGGTAGGAGATTATCAAGAGTTGTTGTACTATACTTTGGTATCTTCAAAGTGGCTTCTAAAGAAAATAGAGCTATACATGAGTGACCTATTGAAAAATCATTAACTATTCTCAATGGTTGTTGTAGGAAACACATAATAATAAACATACATCCATTTATGAAATAGGATAGGAACATTACAAACTTTACACAGTTATGGATAGATTAGTAGGAAAATATCAGTGGCTGCTGTAATACGTGGTGGTATCTTCAGAGTGGTTTCTCAGGAAGACAGAGATATGCAAGAGGGACCTATTAAGGAGTTACAGCCTAAGGGTTGTCAAAAATAGCATATTACCTCCTCACCAGTGACTCCTTTCACTGAGGTATGATGGCTGGAAGGAAGGCCAGGATTGAAAAGAAGGACCGAGAGACTTGCACCTGTGTCTAGCAACAGGCTGTTTTCTTGTTCCTCCATAGTCATGATTACCCAGGGCTCCTCGATAGAGATGACGGTCTGGCCAGAGGGAGAAGGCAGACCATGCCCCAAGCCCTCTCATTCCTGTTGGACTAACTGGTAGCATGGGTCTGAGCTCTGGGGCCTCCACCTCAGAGGGCAGACCGATCTCCAGTGGTCTCCTTTGCATCCAGGGCATGGCCCATGGGGCCTCTTAGGGCAGTTCCTCTTGAGGTGAAGGCCATGTAAGTTCCCTGCAGTCTGGAACCTACCTGGCCTGGGGCTCCCGTGAACCCGTGGAACTTCATTTTAAAACCCAGAGGCAGATGTGTTCAGTGTCAGGGAGCTGTCACTTTTCCACTTGCTCTGTGGCTTTGGTGCAGTTGTAGTCAGTTCTTATGTGTATATGTCTGTGAGTCTGTCTGGGGCCCCCCAGGTGAGGTAGGTTGTGGCTCTGGGAGCTGTGTGAAGGCAGGATGATGGGTGCCCCCTGGGGGACCCAGGCTTACAGTCTCGATGAGCAGCCATGGCTAGCAGGCTGTTGGGAGTGGGAGGTAGAATATAGTGACTTAAAACAGTCCACATTGAAGATCTGCATATCAGGCCAGAGCTCCCACACCCTTATACAGGGTTAAAGTCAGGTGTGGGCGGTGGGGGGAGGGGTTCTGGGTCCCTTGGGAAAATTCCTTCCCAGCTCACAGGGGCAGCTGACTGGGGCTGCCTGGGTTCTCACTTGCATGTGGGACTCCCAGTCCTTCCTGACTTTGGGTAGTAGTGTGATCACACTGTTGTGCCCCCCGTCATTGTTGCCTATTAACCCTAACCCAGGACACCAGGGCCGAGAGCCATGAGCAGCTTGAGGCTGGTGTAAGTATCCATATGAAGATACACAGCCCTTTCCTGTGCTCTCACAGAGACACTGCAGAGACCACAGAGCTGTAGGAAAGGAAAGCGTGGGAACTTCTGCTTATTCAAAGGCAGCACAGCTGGGGTGCAGCTCCATGGTAGAATGCTTGTCCAGCATTTTTGAGGCCCTGGGTTCTGTGCCTAGCACCTTGGGTGGGATCCTAAAGGGAAAAAACCATGCTGTAGGGAGACAGGGAAGCCTTTAAAAGACTTGGGATAGGGGCTGGGGATATAGCTCAGCAGCATAGCACCTGCCTGGCAAGTGTGAGGTCCTGAGTTCGATTTCTGGTACCACAAAAAACAACAAGCCTTTCATATATTCTTTCATATATTCCACCTTCTTGTTGGATGTCTCAAACATCACTATTTATTTTTTGGTACCAGGAATCGAACTCAGGACCTTGAGCTTGCCAGGCAGGCGCTGTGCTACTGAGCTATCTCCCCAGCCTCAAGCATCACTTTATACGTAAAAAAGAATGTGCTCCAGTTGTAGCATCACACCTGTCGTACACTGCTCCCTGCAGTGCCTGGGTTCTGCCCAGTTTGACTCCTGATTGGCTCTCTTCACATGGCCCAGGGTGGCTTAAGCTAGTGGGCATGGCTGGCTGGGATGCTACCAGGTCTGGAACACAGCCGTCCTGCAGCCACTCCATCATGTGGATGCCTGAGGAGTGTAATAAGCATCTTGCTGACACCTTGCTTTGGCTGGAGAGGAATGTGTCCGGGTGCCATCTGGAGAGAAATATAACTGGTTGGGTGAGGTTGGCTCCTGTTTAGTCGTGGGGACCTTGGCCACTGATGCCTGTCCCTGGAGTCCATAGCCTTCTCCACTCCATGTTCTCATGCCTGTCCTCATCCCCTAGCCTTAGGCCCCTTTGTGCCATGTCAGTCCTGGCTTACTTTGTCTGATGGGAGCCATGGTTCTGAGCTACCCCTGTCTCAGAGTATGTGGAGGAGGGCACAGGGATGACTGTGGCATTAGGCTCTGGGATGTGGGTCAAGAGAGAATGAGAGATGTGGCCCCTGTCACTTTTGGAGTAGTCTACACAGAGAAAGGGGTGATCATGGGGTGCTGGGGCAGTCTTAGTTCTGTGTTCTAACCAGCACAGGACACAGACATGGAGTGAGACATGGAGGAAGAAGCTTTTCACTGACAGATCCAAGAAAAGGGCCTGGCCATACAGGGATCTGGGGGGCACTAGGTTGGTGGGGGTTGGAGGTGAAGGGCGGGGCAGGCACGAGTCTTCATGGTGATCTGTACAGGAAGGAATGAGTGGGGCCGGGGGTCGGGGCAGCCTGGGGACCACCTGATTTAGCAGTCTCTGCAGGTCTGGGGTGTAGGGCTGCCCTGGGTGCTCAGTGCTTTAGGTGTGGTGTGCACAGGAAGGCAGGGGCCAGGGCCATGCTATTTCCAGGAGTCATTTGCTCTCCAGGGCCAGTGAGCCCCAGATGTCCAAGCATCAAAATGCAGAATAAAGACATGCTTGTTACAGTGCCATGGTAGCCACTGTGATCTAGGTTGAGACCAGCACACCCTGATGTGGGTGACTTGGCCATCACTTGCATTGATGGGGATGCAGGCCACACTTGGGGCACAGGAAGGGAGAGGAAAAGCCCAGGTTCTGGTGTGGTGGTGGGAGACTGGATATGTCAAGTTTTGTTATCCCCAAAAGCAATACAGAGCAAGTGGCAGATAGTATGACAGCAGAAAACAAGGGTGGCTCTCAGACCTGAAACTGCTACAGAGAAGTGGCCACCACAAGATCCTGTTGACACCCCTCAGTGCACCTGGGGGCCTTCTGAGGGTGTCGCCACTACAGGCAGTGCCACCTGGAGTGTCAGGCCACTGGTATATACTGCTCTGTGCTGACCGATGCCTGATAGCACATAAGCCTGGCTGCAGAAAGCCTGTGCCTTGGGATTGCACTGCAGTCCAGCGGGCCCCGGGGTGAGTACCCTCATGTTCACCTAGGAGGGAGCGTGAGCTTCTCTTCTTACACCAGGGCCCTTTGGGCAGGAGAGACGAGACAAGACAGCTACAGGTTACAGGGGCTGCCATGCTGCCCAGAGCCCTGGAATTTGAGCTGGTTGTGGCAACCAGGTGAGGCATATGGCTGCCTTGAGAGGCTCTTGAGGTCTGTAAGTTATAGCAACTAGCATTGCCTTGACTTGGAGACTCTGACCCTTCTTGGTTTATGGTGCTTTTTTTTTTTTTCTTCTCGTTTTTCTCCGGTACCGGGAACCGAACTCACGACCTTGCGCTTGCCAGGCAGGCGCTTTGCCGCTGAGCTAAATCCCCAGCCCCATATGGTGCTTTTAGTAATTTTTTCATAGCACTTGGTCAAAAGAAATGATAAACAGTTCTCTTTATTTATTGGGGCCAAACAATTTAAGTACAGTATTTATGTCTTAACAGCTTAGTAGTTTGCAAATAAAACAGATACATTGAAAAACTTAATTTTTTTTTTTTTTTTTTTGGTCTTTCTGAGACAGGGTCTCACAGCAGTTCAGGCTGGCCTGGCCTTGAGCTCACTTTGTAGCCCAGGCTGATGTCAAACTTGCAACGATCCTCCTATATCAGCCTCCTGAGTGCTGGGATTATAGGCATGCACCACCACCCCCGCCCCCCTTTTTGTTTTTACCCTGAAACAGGGTCTCACTATGTAGTTCAGGCCA